CCTGCACCCGCGCAGTTCCACCCCGAAAGGTTCCGATGAGGGCACTCGGTCCGCGCGCGCACGGCTCGTCGATGGCTCCTTGAATGGCTCACTGAACACTCCAGAAGCCTCAACTTCGGCCCCCGCAAACGCCCCGAGGTGCACCCCAGAATCCTTGCATGGCAAGGACGAGGGCGAACTTGCCCCACGAAAACACAAGCGGCCGCAAGCTGGGACAGGCCGCCAGGCGCGGGGTTCCCAGGCGCGAGCGCGAGGGCACACCGACCGGGAAAGCGGTCCGAAAACGCGTGGACCCGCGAAGAGCACCCCACGGAGCCGGCGGAAAAACGCGCGCGAACGAGATCGAACAAAAAAACTACGCACCCCAGAAGATGACAGGATTCACCCAAGTTTCGTTCGGGGCCCTGTCGAGCCCAATTTGAGCGCACTCACAATCAGCGAGTCAGCGATCAAACGCAAGGTCGCCCCCCATGGAGATCTGCAAGGCCTGGCCAGCGGTCTTCGCCGTCTCAGGAGGCAGAAGTGTTTTGAACGCATCGCCCTCGAGGGTACCAAAGCTAAAAACAACCTCGGACAACGGGCAAAAACTCGTGACCATTTTGTGAGACTGCGCAAACGAACTCAGCAGAGACCGTTTGTCGACGTCGCAGCGGGAGGCATCCATGGAAATCCTCGCCCGCGAGGTGCCCCTCACGAAGCCCCCGCCCCGACCGCGCAGAGCAAGTTCCCCGCCCGGCGCGGGGAGGGCCACTGCCAGCGCAAGGCGCCCCTCACGAGACTGCAGCGAACTCTAGATCTCGACCGCCCAATTCGCGGGCTAGTCGACGCCGAGCGGTTCGCCCAGGCTGACGCTGACCCCCCCATCCAAAAGCGAGAGTTGCATCGAACGATCGGCGAACCACAGCTTGGCACGCGCGCGGGCCATTTCGCGCAACTGCGCGCGCAACCATCGCGACGCGCCCCCGCGCCCCCTCCCCCCGCGCGCGCGCTCGCCAGCGGTGCGACGCCACCCCCTCGAAGCAAGTTCACCCGCATAAATGCTCGCCAAAGAGATGGCCAAATTCGCGACGGAACCGTCGCCCAGCACATCCAGGCCTCGCGTTTTTCTCATCTGTCGGGGACCCCTGGGACAGGGCCGCCCGGACGGGGACGCGCTTGACTCTCCGAGCGCGCGCGATTGAAAGACGCCGGCCCAGGGAAAGCCGCGGGCCTCGCGGCGCTCGAGGGGGGCCACGTCGAGGGGGCCCTCTCGGCCCCTGCGGGCTGCGGGTAGACGCCCAGCCCCCGGGGTCCAGCCCAGGCCCCTGGAGACCTCCCAGGATTTATTCGGTTGACCATGGGCGGAAAAAAAAAAGCAGAAGATCTTGGAAACGGCGGGCCAGGTCGGCGAGAACTTCCCCAGCCTGGTCTCGCTGAGCGCATTCCTGCTTAGCTTCATGTCCTCTGTCGCTCTCTGGGAGCGCCCTGGGCGGGCACAGGTCCTAAGTCCTGGCTCAGGTCGGGGGTGCGTGTTCAGCAGTTCCTGGCAGATGGCCTCCGAAATATTCACGGCCTGGGGCACGGGGGCCTCGACCGCGTTCAAGCCCCCTCTCCCAGCCAGGAAGCTCCAAGAATTCCCCCCATTCCTCCAAGGACGGGGGGCTGGAGCGGGGCTCGATAACTACGACTTTTCAAACCTATGCGCCCCAATTGTCGGGCAAGCTCGGGAACCACTGCAAGGTCACGTACTCGCCAGGCTTGCCGAAGTGCCTTGTTCGTCTTGCTCCCGTCGCTCTGCAAGTCGCCTGCGCCGACGCTCTCGCAGTGCGGCTGACAGCATCTCGATGATCAGGTGGACGGTGCGATCCTCGTCGCACTCGGGCGGGCACGCCGCCGCCACCTCCAGCAGGGCACGCCGCCGCTTCCGAAGGTCCCGCTTCCGCTTATGCGTATCGATCTCCGCGGGGTCACTCACGCCTTCCAGAGAAGTGTTTCAGCGCGAGTGAGGTGGAGGACCAGCGAGGCGTGGTCCGACGTGTCCTCCTGCGCACACAAAGCCTGCAGCGCGGGCTCCGCGCCCACGAACGGCTGGTGGAGGTCCTCGATGGAGGTCTCTGTCCCCGTCCCGATCGAGATGGCAACTGCATTGCGTGAACGGTCCCATCTGGCTCGCTTCGATACTCCAGCCACCGGTGGTATGATCTGCATCTTGATCACGATCGGCACATTGTCCAAGACTCCCGTCATCGCTCTCGTCTGCCTGGCGGTGCGATACCACGCCTGGCAGTGTGTGATCAGGCCCCAGGTGGACTGCGGCACAATGACGTGGTCGATGGCCGATGATCCCGTAGCTCCGAAGTGCGTGGGCCCCACCTCATGCGCCGCGTTGATGGCGATCCTATGCGGCTGGTCCATCCAGTCGTGCACTAGCGAGCCCACGTAGTTCTCGTTGTACGTTCCCCAGGGGCCGACCGCATCATCTTCGGGATGTCGCTGCCGCAAATCGCTTTTCAGGCCGCAGTAACATATCGGCGTGTAGCGTTGAGGCAGCCAATGGGTCTGAACTTTTCCCCACTTCAACTCTAATATACGGGTTTCTTTCCAATGTGTCATAGTTTCGCTCCCCGGCGGGCGGGGTGGAACATAAAGCACAGCGATGGCTAGCATAAGACATCCGGAGACAATTCTACCACCCATCCTCGACCTGCCAATTCTCGTGGGGCTGGTATGACGCATCGCCCGTCTCGTTCTTCAAAAAATAGCTTGCCTATGGCCGACGCACATCCGCATGACTTGTTCGTCTTGCGGCTCCTTTGCCACCCGAAATGGACCACAAAGTGGTGTGGGGTTTGTGCACGGTGGTGTCGCTAGTGCGCCCAAGCACGGACACCTGAGCCCTGCATCGCCAAAGGCCCACGTCCTTGTACGCCACGGATATCTTCTCGAGCCGCGATGCAGCGGTGAGATTATGTGGTTTCCCGCGTGCCAGGAATGCCCGTCTGCGGCCAGTCGACGCCATCACCAGCCTCACGAGCCCGTGTGCACTTCCTCGAAATGGGGTCGCACTCCAGAGGCCTCGGCATTATCGCGCCCGCGGCATCACGAGGGTGCACGGATAGCAGTCAGTGTCCGCGCGCCGTAACCGAAAGCTCCCTCAAGCCCAGACGGCGCTTATGACAATGATGATGGTGATGGTGGTGGTGTTGATAATGGTGGTGGTGATGGTGCTGGTGCTGGTGCTGGTGATGGTGATGGTGATGGTGATGGTGATGGTGATGGTGATGGTGGTGGTGTTGATAATGGTGGTGGTGATGGTGCTGGTGATGGTGATGGTGATGGTGATGGTGATGGTGATGGTGATGGTGATGGTGATGGTGATTGTGATGATGATGGTGGCGGTGCTGATGCTGATGATGCTGGTGGTGGTGGCGGTGGTGATGGTGATGATGATGATGATGGTGGCGAAGATGATGATGGTGATACTGAACGTGATGATGATGATGATGATGATCGTGATGTTGATGGTGATGATGGTGATGCTGATGATGATGATGATGATGATGACGATGATGATGATGATGATGATGATGGTGGTGGTGATGGTGATGATGGTGATGGTGATGGTGATGATGAGGGTGATGGTGATATTGATAATGATTGTGAGTCTGAGGATAATGCGGAGGAGGAAGTGGAAGCGAAGCTGGAGCAGAAGCAGGAGCGGAAGCAGAAGTAAGACGACGAGGAAAAACGATAAGGACGATAGGAAGAGGACATAGGAAGAGGACAGTATGGAAGGGACGACTGGAAGAGGAAGAGGAGCAGGAGACGAAGAGGCTCCTCCCTCTTCTCTACCAGCCACCTGGAGCTCAAGCTGCGGCCTAGGAGCCGACTCGACCAAACTGCTGCTCCTCCTGCACACGCTCCTGCATCTGCTCCCGCTCCTCCTCATTCTTCTCCTCCTCGCCTTCCTCCTCCAGCTCCTAGCAGTCCTCCTCCTCGACAGATCACAACCAACACCACCATCAACCATTGTCATCACCACCATCGCCACCATCACCAGCACTGTCACCATGTTCAGCATCAGCATCATCATCATCATCATCATCATCATCATCATCAGCATAATCATCAGCATCAGCATCAGCATCAGCATCATCACCATCACCATCATCATCATCATCATCAGCATCATCATCATCCGCATCTTCATCATCAGCAACATCCTCATCACCGCCATCAACATCAACTAACATCATCAGCAGCAGCAGCATCATCACCGTCATTACCATCGTCACCGTCAGCGTTAGCATCATTGTCACGGCCATCATAACCTTATCCTCTTCATCACCACCACCACCACCATCATCACCATCAACAACAACACCATAAACAGCAACAGCGACAGCATCATCATCATCATCAGCATCATCATCATCCTCATCATCATCGGCAGCGACATCATCGTTATCATCATCAGCATCATCATCCTGGGCATAAACACTATCAGAAACAAACGCATCATCACCATCAGCATCAGCATCATCATCAACATCATCTTATCACCATCATCAACATTAGCTTCATCACTGCCACCACCGTCAGCATCATCATCATCATCAGCATCATCATCAGCATCAGCATCAGCACCATGGTCATCATCATCACCACCACCAGCATCATCATCATAATCAGCATCATCATCATCGGATTCGTCGTCGTCGCCGTCGCCATCAAAGCCAGCACCATCACCATCATGTTCGGCGTTATCTTCATCACCATCGCCGTCACAGCCTCCAGAACCATCATCATCATCATCATCATCATCATCATCATCATCATCGTCATCGTCATCGTCATCGTCATCAACATCATCATCATCACCACCATCAACAGCATCATCAGCATCTCCATCACCGTAGCCTCCTCCCCCTCCTCGTTCGTGAGACCCGAGAGCACATGACCACTCAACCTCCCCCTATACAGAAAGGTGGTGACCCATTTCAGCGCTCGATGCACTGCGCGCTCGGCTCGAGCACGTTCCAGCCACCAAGCAAGCAGCATTGGGAGGCCCTCGCTATCGAACGCTCCGCTGCGCCGCAGCCTGGCTGCAAATGCATCCAGCAGCAGCCTTCTATAGATGCAGCAAGAGACACAACCAAACAGCACCAGGATGCTGGAATCACTCATGGCTGGATTCATATGCGGAGCCTGCGGAGGCCAACCGCCAGATGCACATGCGGAGGGCCATCGCATCTGGCCGCACGAGAGCCGAGAGCTGTAAACACGTGCGACCACATGCCCATCCAGCTCTGGCATTGGCCCGCCACACCAGGCGTACCCGGCTTCCTGGTACACCACATTATCGCTCGAGGACACCCAATGCCAACTTCACCGCGTTCCCTGGCTTCTACGGGACGGGGCGCGCTCACGGGGGGTCGCTTGCCCAGGTTCGGCACGGCCTCCGCTGCTCTGCACGCTGAGGCCAGCCTGCGCCGAGATCCTGCGACGCCTCTGCGCAGGGCACCCGCGCACTTGGCTCGCAGGCTGCCCCCGCACGAGCTCCCCGCCCAGACCTGGACCACGGCGGCACGGCGGCTGGACGCGAGCGCGACGCTCCCGCTCCGACGGCGTGCGCGAGAGGGCCCCTGGCGGGGCCGCCGTCGGAGCCCTCTGAGCGAGCCGCGGGGGGGGGGCTCTCGGCACGGCACCGCCGGCCACGGCCGGGTGCACCTCGCACGGCTGGGGCCGCTCGAGGCAGGTCACGGCTGCCTCGAGCGGCCTCCGCGCCCTCGACGGGCTCAGGCGCCCCACTGCGCCTGCAGGGCCGCGAGGACCTCCTGCTCCACCTGCTTCTCGGCGCCCTTACCGCGGGGCCCGTCGGCCTGCGTGCCCTCGTCCTCTTCCTCGTCCTCGTCCTCGTCCTCGACCTCGACCTCCGAGGCCCGCGGCATGTTGGGCGGTGGAGACGCGCCCTCGTCCTCCGAGGAGCGAAAAGACACCGACGCCAAGGCCAAGGAGGCCCCACGAGGCCCCAAGAGGCCCAAGAGGCCCCGAAGACGCCCCAAAGAATCCCCAAAGCGGCTCCCAAGAAGCCTCAAAACGGCCCCCAAGAAGCCCCCGAGAGGCCTCCCGCGACATCCCAACGGACATCCTAGAGGCCTGTGACCCACAACCCAAGCACGGTGGCGGGATGGGCCTAAGCCATTAGATACCGACGCCCACACTCCCCAGACCTCTCTCGGGGGTGTTTCCTGGCCAGGATCCCGAGGCGGACCCAGCCGCGACGTAGGCAGCCACATGTGAACCCTGCCCCTGCAGGTCCGATCGCTGAAAGATCGGCTGGGGGTCAGAATTCGAAGGATGCCCGCAGCCAGGTGAAATCCCAGCGGGGGTGTCCGGAAAACCAGCGTCGATCGGACCCGCAGGGGTAGGTTTCGCAAAGGATCGCAGACGACGACGACGACGACGACGACGACGACGACGACGACGACGACGACGACGACGACGACGACCCCACCAGGACGCCCAGGCAGGCGAAATCGAGGGAGAGGCGTCGGTATCGGTATGTGGATCTCCTCCGATGTTGGGCGGCGGTTTCGCGCCCTCGTCTCCTGGAGCAGCAGGCGCTGCCCGCCGAACTGGTAGTCCAGTGCCAGCTTGCGCAGGCTCGCGCGAAGAACTGTCTCCTAAAGGGGGCGGTCGGATGTCGGGAGCTTCCAACCTGCCATCGCTCGGACGTCCATTCCCCGTGCATCGTTTGCTTTCGTGCGTGTTTTTGTCTCCGCTCGGTGACCCCAGATGCCCTAGATGGTCCAGATGTTCTGGCGCTGGCCTCGCCGAAGAAACAACAACAGCAGCAGCAGCAGCAACAACAACAACGACAACACCACCAACAACAACAACAACAACATCAACAGTCATTCCTAGGACTGTTCGCTCTTACTTGCCCGTGTGTCATTCTAAACGAGTTTCCCACACCCTCGATACCCGCCCTTTTTGTCTTCGGTCACACCCCCTTTGGGGGATTATTTCTCTTTACGGGGGGCGGCGGGTCTAGACAGGCGGGCAAGCCTGAACGGGCGGATAATCCTTCGTGGGCGTACATGTGCCCGCCATTGGACTTGGTGTGGGACCTGCAAAGAGAGGAGAGGGGGAGAACGAGGGAGAGCGGGAGGAAGGGAGGGGGAGGGACGAAGGAAGAGGGAAAACGCCAAGAGAGAAGGAGCGAAGAGGGGGGCGGTTGATTAGAGGCAGAGAAAGAGAGAGAGAGAGAGAGAACAAAAAAAATAGACAGCTAAGAGAGGCAGAGAAAGAGAGAGAGAGCGGGGGGAGAGAGAGAGAGAGAGAGAGAGAGAGAGAACAACAAAAACAAAAAACAAAAAAGAAGGGGGGAGGCAGGAGAGGGGAGGGAGAAGGAAGGAGGGAGAGGAGGGAGAGGGGATAGGGCAGAGAGGCATAAGGGTGAGGGAAGAGAGGAGGGAGAGAGAAGGGAGGAGAGGAGGGAGGAGGGAGGAGGGAGAGGGAGAAGGAGCAGGAAGGCAAGAGCGTGAACGTTCGAGGAAGTCCTAGGCAAAAGCGCCGTTCCTGAAGGAAATCTCGGGCGGGAGCCCATGACGGGCGGGCGATCCCCTGACGGGCGGGTCGGGCGCGTGGGACATTCAAGCGGGATGCCTGAGTATGGCGAGAGCGCGATTACTAAGTAAATTGTAACGGCGTCCTTGGCGCAGCGTGTTTCCTGAGCGTCGAAAGCCCGATTTCTGAATACATTACATGGAAGTCAAAGGCGAGAGCGCAATTCCTGAATAAAATGTGAGGGGTTCTCTGGCGGGAGCGGGGGTCTTGATTAAATCGCGAGGAAGTCTCGACTCAATTGCGAGGAAGTCTCAAGCGGGAGCGCCGTTCCTGAGTCAATTGTGAGGAAGTCTCAGATGGGAGCGGGGGTCCTGACTAAATTGCGAGGAAATCGCAGGCGGGAGCACCGATCCCGAGTAAAGTGTGAGGAAGTCTCAGAAGCGGGAGCCGTTGTTGTTGTAATCCGAGGGCCCAGTTTGAGCACCAAGACTTTCCTTGTAAAAACAGGGTGCGAGCGTCGAGGGGCACACTTTGATTGAGAAAAAACAATATGCACAGTCAAAGAGGGGGGGTCGTAAATCATGGACGCAGGCATGTGCGAGGACGAGGAGGGGGGCTTGAGGACGTAATGAAAGAAGAAGAAGAAGAAGGGGCCATGAAATCCTGGGAGACATCATGGACCCCCATGATATCCATCCCCCCAAGTCATCACCCCCCTCTTGAACGACCCTGAAGATGCACCCACCCCTGGGAACCAGACCCGCGATGGTCTCTCGCGGCGTCGCAACGAGGGGGTCAACAGGCTCAACAGCCGCTGTCCTGAGATTCAAGCAGGCTGCCGCACTGCGCTGCTTTGCGCGCTACGCTGCGCTACTCTGCACACGTGCACCGAAATACAACGCATGATGCGCTGCATCATGCTGCATCCAATTACATTACACTGCGCCTCGACACACTGAATGATCACACGTGTCATTGCACTGCATGCCTGCATACGTGAGTCCATTGGCACACACAGGGGCTCAAGCAGTACTTCATAATTCAGTACACTACGCGGCAGACTTCTAGTCACACTTTCACGTACGTTTAAGCTTGAAGTGGCACCTTCAAGCGCCGGCCCTTGAAGGCGTACAGAAATGGTTTAGAGCGCGTCCTCTTCCAACCCTTTCTTCCCCTTCGGTGAGGGGTTTACCAGGGTTCCTTACTGACCGGCATTTTCCCCAACACCCGACTGGCGACAAACCAGTTACCAACTCCCCCCCACCATGCCTGGTAAAAAAATAAGCCACAGTGCACTTTGCACCAACATCTTGATCATTCGCGGACGCCCAGCGATCATTTCGCACTGGTTTTTGACAGGGATGGCGGGGGGGGGACCCTGAATGTGGAAGGAGCGATACCCAACGACCAACCAATCAGCCAGCGCGGGGAGAGGAGCCGACAAGGAGGAGCACACTCACACACACACACACACACACACACAGACACACACACACACACACACACACACACACACACACACACACACACGCACACACACGCACACACCGCACACAAAAAGGAAAGGAGGGGGGGACGCGAAGGAGGTGCACCGCCCTCCATTTTCCGTGCCGGGGTGAGAAGCAAGGCGCGGGGGCGGGGGGGTACCTCCTGGCAGGCGGAGGAAGACCCCCCCCCCAGCACTCGGACTTGTTCCTTTTCCCATCCCCGCAAGGGGAGAGGGAGAGCAGCCCCCCCAGGAGCAATGAAATCCAGGGAGATGTCATGGCCCTGGCCATGGTGTCCACCCGCCAGCACCTGATCATCACCCGCCTCCTGGCCGCCCCCCGTACACATCCGCCGCCATGCAGGCCTCGGCGCGTGAGCCGGCGAGGGGGCCCCTCGCCCAACGGCCACACAGGCCAGCCCCTGCCCCTGCTGACGCCCAGCTCCTGGGCGCCACGCAGCAAACCCCGGCCCCAATCAGGCGCTGGCGCTCGGAGGCCGCCAGGGAGGCGGCGAGCGGCAGTCAAGGTGCCTGCCGGCGAACGCACTCACGCGGCCCTGCTCTGCCCTCGGCCCGCTCTGGCGGGCCCTCCCCGAGGGACACTCCCCGTCGAGCGTGCCCAGAAGCGGAGGCGGAGGCGGAGGAGGAGGAGGAGGAGGAGGAGGCGTGCACAAGTACCCGCGTTGGTGCCTACACGATCGTGGAGTGGTAGAACGTTTGGCAACTGCCTGGCAGGGCTTCTGTGGCGTTCTGCAGGGCTTCTCTGCTGCTTGCTTTAGGGGGCCTGCTCCCCCCTCTCGCAGCGCAAGACCCTGGACAATCTCGCCGCCCCCACGAGGCAGGTTCGCGTCGTGACGACCCCGACGTTGGCTTCTGACGCCGCGCGGATCGTTCGATCTTGAACGACTGGCGGCTGTTCAACTACCAGATCGTTCCGTGTTGGCCGATTCTGGGCCACTAGCGGCGTTCCACCTTGAGCGTCCAAAGCGGCATCGCCGCCGCGTCGACACGACATGAACCTACCGTAGCGTTGCTCTCCTGTCGCCTCCTTTCGGCCTCCAGGAGTCTCCAAGACGGTCTCGTCGGCCGCAAGAACGGCTGCAGGATGCCCGAAGACCAGCCACGAGACGGCCCAGCGACCCCTCAGGCGCTCTAAGAGCCTCCCCCCCCCGATCCCCCAGGAGGTGGCCAAGGAGCCCCCTCAGAGATGCCACCAAGGGCCGCCGGGGCCAGGCCCCCAGAGGCCAGAAGCGATGCAGACCCTGAGGATCAGATGCTCGTTCTGGTGACCCTCCTGGACCCACTCGCTCCTCTCATCCGTCGATGCTGCGTCAAGCGTCCGTCGAACGTGAGTCGAACTTGAGCCGAGCTAGAGTCGAGCTAGAGTCGAACTAGAATCCAAAAAAGAGTCGAACAGATCCGTTGGGCGGGCCCCTGGAAGGTCCCCCCCAAAACGGGCATCCAACGAGGAGAACCGCTTCAGAGCCCCCGAGACTGCCGAAGACCGCCCCGAGAGGGCCGCAGGAGGCCTCAAAGACACGCCCAGACGTCCCCAAGATGGCTCGGCCGAGCCACGTCGGGCGAGCGCTTGGCAGAGGCATCGCGCACAAGACGGGCCCGAGACCCTCGAAAGGCCCCCCGAGAGTGGCCCCAAGAGGGCCCAACTAAGCCCCCAATGCACCCCTGCTGAGACTGAATAATTTCTTAGGATAAGAACAATGACGTCGCTACAGGCGTTTTCTTGAACAGTGGTCCAGGTCTGAATACATGAAAATGCCACGAAAAGAAGGATTCACGAAAACGCCCAGTGTCCAGTCCAGATTCCTGGCTTTCTCAAGCGAAATCTCGTGCTCATGAAAGCTGATGTTGTTCTAAAGATTTCTATCGGGTGCAGGCCACAGGTGTTCCTTCAAGTGGGGAAGGGGGAGGAGGGGGTGATCGAGCTTCTCCCCCCCCCTGCCGTCTCCCTGCCCCCCTCCATTGTCGTGCTGTTGCTGTCTTTGTCGCCGCGCGCCTGCTTCGTCCCCCCGCCCTACCGCGTGCTTGCGGCTGCTGCCAACCGAGGAGAACAATCACCGGGTTGGGAGGAAGGGGTTGAGATGATGCAGGGCATGAGCAATAGCATCCGGATGCAGTGAACTATACCTTCGGCCGCCTGCGGGCAATGGTATCCTCCTCCTCCTCCTCATCCTCATCCTCCTCCTCCTCCAACTCGTCCTCCTCCATGATATCCTCATTTCTCCCAACCCCACCCTCCCAACCCGATAAGTATGTTCCCGACTGGCATGGCGTCTCTGGCGGGGGGACCCTGGGGAGCGCGATGTCGGCCTCCGGATGCGGGGCGTGCGGAAGATTGGGCGCCCGAGTAGCGCTGGCGACTGGCGCACAAAGGTCAGGGAACGGGGGGCCCGTAGGCCCTCGAGGATCGAGGATCGAGGATCGAGGAAGATCGAAGATCGAGGGTCGAGGATCGAGGGTCGAGGGGTCGAGGATCGAGGGTCGAGGGGTCGAGGATCGAGGAGCGTCGAGCATCGAGGATCGAGGATCGAGGAGGCGGATCGAATATCGAGGCGGCCGGCGCCCCCGTGCCGGCCCGGCGGGGCCTGGCCAGCGCCGGGGGCGCGCCCCGGCCCAGAGCGCCCGCGTGCAGAGCTGCGCGCCACCAGCTGCGGAGAGGGAAGAAAAGGGAAGGGGAGGGAGGAGGAGGCGGAGGAGGAGGAGGAGGAGGAGGAGGAGGAGGAGGAGGAGGAGGATGGAGGAGCAGGGAGGAGGAGGAGGAGGAGGAGGAGAAGAGGAGCGGGACGAGGAGGAGGAGGACAATGAGGAGGAGAAGGAAGGGAGGATGGAGGGGAGTGAGGGAGAGGCAGGGAGGGGAGGAGGAGGAGGAAGAGCAGAGAGGAGGAGGTGGAGGGAGGAGGAGAGGCGGAGAGAGAAGGAGGGAGGAGGGGGGGAGGGAGGGTGTGGAGGTGGAGGGGAGGCGGAGGGAGGGAAGGAGAGGAGGAAGGGCTGAGGAGAGGGGAGGACGGGAGGTGAGGAGAAGGAGGAGGAGGAGGGAGGAGGAGGAGAGGAGGAGGAGGAGGAGGAAGGAGGAGAGGAGGGAGGAGAGGAGGGAGGAGGAGGAGGGGAGGAGAGGAGGACACCCGCGGACCAGGACGGGGCAGTACAGGCCCGCGCCCTTTTCACACAGGGCGCGGAGCCGGAGCGGGCCTGGAGCTCAATACCTCCTCCTAGCTGCGCTGCCGCGCTGCCACGGGGGCGGGAGTGGCCGCACGCAGCTGGACGTGCGCGCATGCGTGCGTGCGCGCAGATGCGCACGTCGCCCCGCACTGCCAAGCCTGCAGGGCCCCTGACGTCGATGAAGGGGGGCACCCCGCTCGACTCGGATGCTGGAGGTCTGGTGCCTCGTGGCCCCATCGCAGCCCCGAGGCGTGTGGCGTGTTGTCCCCGCTCCCTCGCGGCCCCCCCCCAACGTGCGCGAGGCGCTGCCCAGACTCTCGACTCCTGGTTGCCCGACGACGATGACGATGACGACGACGACGACGATGACGACGACGACGACGACGACGACGACGATCCTCACCCCCCCCCCTTTCGACCACGGCGGGAGGTGGAACTGGCCCGAGGTCCCCCCGCCCATGCGTTTCGTGCCACTGCGGAGCCGCAGTGGGGGCCTCCAGGCCCCGCGAGGAGGGTGCTCTGGAGGCCATCCGGGCCTCCCCGGCCGGGAAGCTCGGGCCACACAAACGGTGACGAGCGAACAACAGGCACCCATACCCATAGGAAAAAAGAAGGGGGCTACGGGTGTGTGTGTGTGTGTGTGTTGTCGGATGGGGATCCCCGATCGAACGGGAGTCTCCCCTGGTGTCCGACAGCCCGCATCCATACCCAAAGCCCGTCCTCCTCCCTCCGACCCCCCTATGGGTATGGGTGTGTGCTGATCTCTCGTCAAAGGGAGGGCGAATGAAGGCGGCGACACGAAAAGCTCGGGCCACCTTGGGCCAAGACCACCTCCGGCAACCCCCGACGACCGTGAATAGCAGTAAAAGTACCCCTAGATCTTTGGGAAGGGGGGCCAGCAACAGTGGTATAAGGGGGTTTCTCTGCAGAAGTATCACACCAAACCGCCCAGACTCATTATCCCGAGTGCAAGGACGGGGACCTAAATGAGATCGCGTCTGAACTGTGTGATTAAGGCCAGGGGCTCGTTTGTATCTTCGGCGAAACCGTCCTCCACCGTCCCGGCCGAGACGAGGTAGTAGACGCTCACGGGCTTGGTCTGACCCAACCGGTGGGCGCGGTCCTCGGCCTCGGGGGGGCTCGGTGCGCCGACGGGCTCTGGCGCCCGCTTTTCGGGAGGGAGGGGGGCGGGAGCTCCTGTCCCGGGGGCGCGAGGAGGCAGGAGGAGGAGGAGGAGGGGGAGGGGGAGAGGGAGGGAAGAGGGAGGAGGGAGGAGGTTGTTGCAGGCCCAAAAGGCATAACAAAACCGTGGCGCTCAACAAAGCGCGGGCCAACGTGCCCTGGCCAACGGCCAAAGAGGCCAACGGCCAAAACCAAAGGCACACGCGCAAAAAGAGGGAATCACGGACACAAGCTGGGACCTGACCTCTGGCCTCCTTTCCTTGACTAACTCCCAATAGCGCCAGAAACGCTGTGCCTTAGGGAGGAAATCAAGGAAAAGAAAGCAACACCAAGGACCGCCCTACACCCCGCGCCAAAATGGCGCACGGGGGTTCGGGATCGGCGCCCAAGGGACAATACACGGAGCGATGCCCAGCGCCCGCACCCTCGCAAGCACGGCAACAGTGCGCCCGCGGCAAAGAGCACTGCAACCAAGAGGTTACAGGCGGAAAGCCGCGGGCCCCGCCTCCGTGGTCGTCAAACGGCGGTACACCTCAGACCAGGAGGTGCCACTGGGGTCTCCCCGCGCCCAGGCCGCACCTCTTGGCCGAGGTGGCAGGGCACTAAAAGCCCTGGCCTGACAGCTGCAACGGCAACAGCAACGGCAGCAGGGAGGGGGAGGGGGAGGGGGCCACTCTCCGGCCCAGGAGCGCAAACAACGTCCACCCTGGAACCTAATCCAGGGCCGTGCCGCAACTCCCAAAGAGGAACAGGGCGACGGACACGACGACGAAACGAGACACGAAGGACGACAACGAACGACCACGAACCTCCCAGCGGGAAGTGCCGCCCTCCGCCCTATCCGTATCGCACCCGGAACGCGGGCGGGATAAGGATCTGACATCATCGGACCCACACCGCATTCAGGCGGTGCCACACGGAGCCCAGGCAGCACCGCTTATCCGCGGCGGCGAGGCATTTGAAAATTGCCTCGGCCTGACGGCGGAGGAGGGAGGAGGGAGGAGGGAGGAGGAGGAGGAGGAGGAGGAGGAGCAGA